AATGGCTCTCCAAAGGAGCTTCTGTCCTCTGCAACAAGAAGGAAACTGGAGATGTGGGAAACTGCTGCCCCTGATGCTGGCTTCAGGAATCTAAGATTTTAATATAACCTGTTGCATTGCTAGAACTGTTGAGTTTAGAACAAGGCAGTACCCGTCTGGTTAAATGGATTCCTGAAGCATCACCTTTTTTTCTACTTAGCTTAGTTCTAAATTTCTGAAGTCTTAGAATCTTAGTGGTCAGGAAGATCTTAGAATCTTAGCAGTCAGGAAGTTTGGGAAGTTGGTTTTTACCTCTTTGGTGTCAGTATAACAGCAAGACCCAATAGAAAGTGATTAGAACTGATGGTGAATGAATCAAAATATGGTATTCTCAACAAGACAATATTGCCTATATTTCTACTACATTGCCTTGTTTTAATGATTTATAGAAGCTTTATATATAGTCTACATTTCCAGTTTACATTCATTAGCGATATCTTCTGTCCTTAGACCTATCTTTTTCTTTAGTTTGTAGAATTGTCTGCCAAGTAGATTTTTTCAATATTAATATAGTGAGATTTATCTATCTATATCAATCTTTTTTTTAGGGTTTGTACATTATATGTTTTATTGAAGAAATCCTTTCTAACTGGAGACCATAAACATATTTTCTTATGCTTTCTTCTAAAATTTTGAGATTCACATTTGGCCTTTAGGGCTTTAAGCCATCTAGAATTTACTTTGGGCATGATGTGGGATTATATTTATTTATTTTTCTGTATGGGAAGTCAATTATCACATTATCCCATGGACCATCCTTTTATTAGTGACTTACAATGAGACATCTGTCATATGTCAATCAAGTTTCCTTTTTTACTATGGTCTATTCTTTTTTTTTTTGGTGAGACTGGGGTTTTCACTCAGGGCTTCATACTTGCAAAGCAGGCACTCTACTGCTTGAGCCACACCTCCAGCCCACTATGGTCTATTCTTGGACTCTAATCTGTCCCCTTCATCTTTTTGTATGCACCCATGTCAATACCAACTGCTTAATTATTATGGCTTTAAAATCAGTTTTTGGTACCTGGTAGGACAAATCCTTCCACATTGATCTCTAGAATGGGTATGACCATTCTTTGCCCTTTCATTGTACCATATATATGTTATATGTATATATATGAATATGTATTATGCATATATAATATGTACATATAATATACACGTGTGTATACATACACATGTAATATGAATATATATTATACATATATATATATGAATCATTTTACTATGCCTTATTTTTTTAAACCTGTTGAGAGTTTTACTGGAACTATATTGAATCAGTCTGAGGGAGGGGGATTTTCATCTTTATGATATAGAGTCTTCCTATCTATGATCATGGTATATCTGTACTTGCAATTAATTCATACATGTACTTCAATAAAGCTTTATCATTTTCTTCATAAAGACATTATACATGCTTTGTTTAACTAATATTCTTAGGGAAGAACAAATCCTCTTTATTAAATCATTACCAAATCTTTTTCATTTTTGTGTTTTTATCTTTAAATTATACTTATTGTTGTTTTGATATGTATAGGAATACACCTTATTTTTAAATAGTAATCTCCAGCAAGAGTGAGGAAATCTCCTTTTTGCTTACATTTACTTTTTAGTTTGTGTGAAAGTTAAAAGCATATAATTTAAAGAAATGGATAATTCTGTTTGTTACTAAAAGCTAAGACAGATAATTCCACAGCATTTATTAGAAGAAATGGCCTGTCTTTTCTTTCCTTCCTACTCAGCCACCACCTGGCAATTCCTTCTATCTTTTTTAGATGACTGTTCTAGAACTCACCTACATATCTTTCAATAGCACACATGGGAAAGTCTCAGACTTTCTCTTTGAAAGTTTGATATTTGAGTCTTCTGAAATAAACTGGCAATAGACAGATTCACAGGAGAAAGCCATTACAAATTTGTTTGATCATACTTTCACCTGACATGAGGGCTTTCAAACTCAAGTTTGATGAAGCATGGACAGCCATATAGAAATGAGATTGGACAAAGAGGGTAAAACCCAGCAAGACCTGTCTGTCCATATGTTTCTTGGCCCTTCAAGTGTAGCAGTTTTCCTCCAGGAATGGGGTAGAATTCTTTATCTTTTCTATAAAAAGGTTGTTATAATTATTTTGTTTTTGTTAGTTGAGTAATTTCGTAGTTTTCTATGTATTGTCATATAATTATCCCTAATTAAATATTCAAATCTGTTCTAATTCAGTAAGTCGGCTCTCAAGACATTCTAGGACTTTCTCTCATTCTCTATTCCAGACTGTCTGCCCTCTGCTTGGAGCCAGCAGTCAACCTGAAGATTCCCATCACCTGCCCTGGGAGTTCCTTTGGCTCCTATCCGGTGTATTTGATCACCAGTTTCCGCCATCTTTTTCTCTTTTAATTTATTTCTTTGTTTTTGTTGCGCATATTCTTCAGTAGTTTCCTGAAAACAGAAGCAAATGAGGTAAGTTCTCTAGACTGTAAAGGTTCTGCAGTTTATCCTCAGTGTGTTTAGATGTGAATTTAATTTTTTTTATCCTGTTTGGGGTTTGTTCTTCCTAGATCTAAGTTTTCATATGTTTTATAAATTCTGGACAATTTGTAGTCTTACCTCTTCAAATGTTGCCTTTCCTCACTCTCTGCTTTTGCCTTCTAGAACTTGTGTTTGTGGATCTTCTTCTTTCAATGTCCATATTCTCTCTTCTATTTTCCATACTTTCCCTCTCTTTCTGTTTAGCAGTCTGGATAATATCCTCAGCTCTATCTTCCCCTCTACTGTTTGTGTTTCCTAAATGTCTTTTTTTGAGACAGGATTTTGCAGTGTTGGCAGTCTGGTCTTGAACTCATGACCCTCCTGCCTCAGCCTCCTAAGTACTGGGAAGACAGGATCCACCACCGTGCCCATTTCTTAAACATCTTTTCAATCTGCTCATCAGTTTTAAATTCAAAGACAATTTTTAATTTCTGTGAGTTCTATTGGTTGCTTTAAAAATCATATAGGTCTTTATTTAATTTTTTTTATGTCTTTTCTTTCCCCAGTGTATTTTAGTTTGGGGTCTAATCCTGCTCTTTGTTGTTTCTGCTGATGCTCACTCACAGAAGCACTCTTGGAGTTTTGGATTCTTATCTCATCTATACAACAAGGTTGTCTATGATCTAGGTCTAAAGATATGTCATTCTGGAGATGTTTTATTTGTCCTATTGCCACTTAGAGTACAAGCATTAGTCCAGGACTTCTTTTTTTTTTTTTCACCTTTGCAAAGCAGACTCTCAAGCTATCAGCTAGGACAGCAGCAAAGTCCAGCTTTTTATTGAACAAGTTGCAAAGAGGTTTGGTCAGAAAGACTAAAGCCCATGTTATTGTCAGACTCCTCCAACTCCTCCTTCTTGGTTTCCACCTTCTTCTCCTCAGCTGGGGCAGCACCTGCTGCGGGAGCAGGACCTCTAGCCCCTACATTACAGATGGGGCTCCCAATGTTGACATTGGCCAGGGCCTTTGCAAACAGGCCAGGCCAAAATCATTCAACATTCATGCCGGCAGCCTTAACAAGGGCATTGATCTTATCCTCTGTGTTGGTGACCTCATCGTCATGCGAGAGGAGAGAGAGTAGAGATGCAGGCAGGCTTGGAGATGGAGGCCATGGCGTGGACTGCCAGGCACGGTGCTCGTCACCAGATGAAGTGAGGGCCTCACCCCATTGCAGCCTTAGCCTCTTCCGAAGAACCTTGCTGGCAGCTGAGGAAAAAGTGTCCAGGATTTCTTTTTGTGTGAGTTTCTCACCTTTGGGTTACTGAGACCATAAGTGTGATATAAATCTGAACCTGAAACCCAGTAGTTTGTATTGGGGCTAAGAAAATGATACTGTAAATTAAAGGTCTCAGAAGCAAGGTTTCTCTCTGATCTTCCCCTGCCTCCCCCTCCCCCGCTTACACCTTATTCTCTCCAACACAAGCCATAGAAACTGGAGCCCCCTTTTCCAACTAGAAAATCTGAAAATTTACTCAACTTTTCTCCCACCCCACTTTTCTGTCTAGGAGCTGACCGAAAGAAATTCTCTGACCGGCCTTGTTTGATTATAGCTCATAAGATCCCCATTCCAGAAAGGAAAGGTCCTGCCCCAGACCTGGGAGGAAGGAATGCTGCAAGAGAAAGTTAAGAAGAATCTGAAGAGACAGTGTCCCTGGGTTTCTCCACTTCAGTAGCTCAGACCCTTTTTGTTCATCCACATTCCTACGTGGCTGTTACTCATTTCACTGAGCCTAAGCATAAAAATGGACAGCTCACCCTGGGCCTTTGGGTCTTTAGTCTGAAGGCTCTCTGGTCAGATAAAGCTATAATCAAATACAGTTATTATGCTTCCTGCTTGTTAACCTGTGTGTTGTTGTAAAGGCGTTGGCCATGACTCATCTACACTTCCACCTGTTTTTATGAAGTTTCAGAGATTGTTTTTCCTCACCCAGGACCCAAGCCAAGAAGGACAAGTATTTTTATCATTTAGTATGAGAGTGGGTGGATTTTTTTTTTCCTTCCCTCATTTCATTGAGGCCGTTGGTGTGGTGGGAGGGTGTCCCAGTTTTATCAAGGAGCTCGTTATCTGTGAAGTCCTCAGTTTGCTGAGGTTGGCTGTGCTCTCTTCCCTGCCCAATCCCTCCATTTTGGGCCACAGCTACATCTGCTCAGTTACTCCTTGCTGTGGTTCAGTTCCCTCTGCTTTGGGCCTTTGGGATTTCCTTTACTCTCTTGCAAGCTCTGCTATGCAATTAAAGTTACATCTGTTCTGACATAGCCAAGTGTTTGGTAGTAGGAAGATTTTTAATGTTATCTTCTCCACACTATTGCCTTTATACTTTTTAAACTTAGTGATGAAGGAGTGGTGTGGAGAAAAGTACGTCTGGAGAAAGTGAGAGGAGGAGCATCAGGAATGGCCTCAGAGGAGATGAATGTTGGAGGATAGAGACACGAGGGGCACAGCAGGTGCCCAAAGCACAGAGGCAGCAAATGACTGCAGGTGTGGAGAAAAGCACTGTACTGTTTTTTGGCTGGAGGGAAAAATGAGGTGAAACGGACTAGTGAGCAGCAGGGAGCTATTAAAGCCATCCGCAGGGAATGCCATGATCATGAGCTGTGTTTCTGGGAGTTTGAGCCGGAAGCACAACAAGGATGAATGCAACTGGATGGAAGCAGTGGGGGGAGAGAGGTTTGGGTTTGGAAGGATGATGGTGGAGCCTGTGGAAATAGCCCAGGTGATGGGTTTATGTCCTGATGAGAGAGTGGCAACTGGGAGAGAGGGAAGAGGGACTGAACTGAGCCAGATAAGGCAATCTAGGTCAAGAGAAAAAAGACAAAAAGAGAAGAAAAGGCAGAAAAGCACATTGTCTGAGTCCCAGGAAATTAATTTAAAATGTCAACAGTGATTTGAGCTGCTGTTTGCCTTTCATATTGTCCAGATATGGCCCATAAGTGCTAATAAACAGTTCTTCTTGGCTCTGTTTGCAACCAGAGATGTTTCAAAACGCTTAATGAATAACTGTCTTAAAATCAGGAACAGCATTTCCTAATAGAGCTCCCTGAAAGTGAATCAGGATGATTTTGTTTTTCCCAGAACCTTTGGACATGGCTGATCCTGGGGCAGATGAGCCCTCCTCCAGGTCAGGGAGTCCTGACCCAGAAGGTCGAGCCTCTGAGGACAGATCACTGCTCCATCAGAGGCTGGCGGTCAGGGAGCTCATCGACACGGAGGTCTCCTATCTGCACATGCTCCAACTCTGTGCCTCTGACATCAGAAACCGCCTCCAGCAGGTACTTGAGTGCGGCTACTCACAGCCTGTTTTCGCAGGGGCAAATTTGGGTCTATTTTTGAGATCTCATGTCCATTTCTGGGCTGGCTTGATGGAAAGGAAGAGTGGTGGGCATGAGGTCTGACAGATCCAGATGTAAGCCCCAATACTCCATTTATCAGCCATGCATCCTTTGACAAGGCCTTGAATGACCAGGTGGGGAGTGAAATAATCACCTCTGAGTGATTATTAAGTGAACTGATGGACAATCCCTTTCCCAGTTTAAAACAGATTGCTCCAACTGACCTACATTCTAATGGTGTGACGTGGAGAAATTGCCACTCTTGTGGGTTTATATACAGTATTCCTTTTTTTTTTAACATCTTTTTTTCTCTTAGTTTTAGAAATAACACAGGCTCTCTGTATAAAATTTCAAGGATGTGAGCTCTAGAAGGGCAAAGTTCAATATATCCCAGACTTGACATATAAGCAATAGACTTTCAACTAGTGATCCTTGAATGAGTTAAATGCCAAAGCAGATAATGTACAAAGTAAAAGACATTTCTTATTTTGTTCTTCAAAAAATTAGGCAATAAGCAAATATATATTATTTATTTTAGCAAAAATAAGAGCATGCAAATGGGGCATGGGTGCATACTTGTAATCCCTGCACTTAGGAGGCAGAGGCAGGAAGATTGGGAATTTGAGGCCAGCCTAGTCTACATAACAAGACCCTGTCTCAAAACAAAACAAAGAACATGTTCTAGACATTTTTGTGAAGTTAGCTGTCCCACTTGCTCGTACATCCAGCATGTATGTCCATGCCTATGTATATACATAGATGTTCTGTGTCTTTTTAAACAGTGGTGTAGACTGGCTTAGTCTGGAATGCATCTTCAGGTAAAGGTGGTAGGTGCCAAGTATGTCAGAGCTGGAAGGAAATCTAACTTCCCATTATCAGATGACAGATGGGGACATTGGGAAGAAAAAAGCTGACAGTTGGCAGTAGACCTAGGATAGAACCCCTCTTCAGCTTTTCTTCCATGCTGGATACTTGATGTCTTCCTCTCTTCTTGTAAAGTAATGAAAATACCTAATTTGTTAGACTGTAAAATCTTTGCAAACATCCCTTTAGGGAAGTCAGTCTTCCCAAGAGCACCAGAACCCTGATGTTCGGGACCATTCTCCAAAGCCTGCGAGTAAAGTCACTCCCCCAGACTCCCAGCAACTTCCCATGGTCTCTTTGTTCCTTGCAGCTGCCCCAGGGAGATCTGGACATCCTGTTCTCAAACATTGATGAAATCATCCAGGTGAATAGCAGATTTCTTCATGGTCTACAGGAGACAGCCTCTAAGGAAGAGGAACAAGTGCACCTGATTGGTAAGCAAAAGACCTAGGGAGTTGTTGACTTCAGCTTTCCACAGAAATATCTCCAGAGTTCTTGGGAAACGCAGTACAATCGAAGTCTGTTTTGGGGATCCCTGTGGGGGCAGCAGGGCACTCATATCTGGTCCTTGTGACCTACTCACCCCTTAAAGATCCCCCCCTCTTAACACTGTTGAATTGGAGATTACATTTTTAACACATGAATGAACTTTGGGGACACATTCAAACCATAGCTCCTCCTCATCCTTTGCCCTTGTGATTAACCAAAAAAAGAATTCACCTAGATTTTCTTATCTTTGGTGGGACAGTGTTCAGGTCAGGCTTCTCTGGCTCTTACCAGTTCTCTCTCTATCCCCCTTCTAGTCTCTGAACCTTGCGAGGCAAGGAAAGAAAAACCCTTTTTCTGAGGGGGAGCAACAGCATTTTAGAGCTTTGTGGACTTCAGACAAGACTGTTTCAACAGTCTTTTGACAATTTTTTTTTCCTTCCCAATGAATCAGGACAAGAGGGGGCAGAAGAAGCCTTTATTGTTATGTCTTGGGATATACCCTGCCTCCCTCCTCTCCAGAAGCTCACCTTCCTTTGTCCTTCAATTACTGGATCACCCCTGTCCCTGGCCACACTGGCGTGACATTTTCTTTGTCTTGGGGACATCCCATGTTGAGGAGAAAGTGGAAACCACCCTAGGTTTTGTGACAGGTCATTTTGGCTCCCAGTGGGGTCATCTCTATAGGTAACTGGCCCCTTCTGTTACAGATTCTCCCTCACTCTGGCTTTGAGGTCATCTTTCCTGGTCATGTTCTTCCCAGTTCTCGGGGCTTCTCCTGGGAGTTATTGCTAAGGGAGGATTGGCTGGACCTGTGCTGGGGAAGGGGCCTGGTCCTCAAGTGGTAGTCTCACCACGGTGATCTTTCCTGAGACTGGACCGTGTTCCTCGGGTACCATCTGATATGTTCCAAAGGAGGCCGGGTCCAGGTCAGAAGTCCAGACCAGGGCTTTGGCAGCAGTAGTGGTACGGGGCTTCCTGTGGTCCCTTATTCCCACCTGCCCTGGTTTGGTAAATATATTTCTCTTCATCCTCACCACTTTCTTCTTGACAGGCCAGCAAATATGCTTACTTGCATATTCCTAATAGCCTTCTAACAGCCTAATAGCCTTCCTGTTACCACCTTTGATTCCTAGTTTAGTCTCAGTGTGGTACTGAGCTTTTTTCTTTTTAATTAATAGACTTTATTTTTTTAGAGCACTTTTAAATTTACAGAAAAACTACCATGGTCCCAAGAGTCAGAGCAAGAGACAAAGGTATTTTCAGTGAAACATTGTTCCTTTCTTTCTCACTCCTACTGTGCCACCCCCATTCCCTCATCCTTCCAACCTGGTTCCATCTGCCCCCATAGGTAACCAATCTCATTCGTTCTGATTCGAAAATATGGAACACTTCACAGATTTGCATGTCATTCCTGCGCAGGGGCTATGCAGATCTTCCCCATCTTGTTCCAGCTTTACTGTACATGCTGTTGAACTTGAGTAGAAATCAGCACACAGCACCCTGTTCAAAGCCTTCCAGTGGCTTCCTGCCACTCCTAGAGTAAAAGCTGAATACCTTGCTGCACCTCACTCATTCTGAGCCTCTGTGACCTCGCTTATTTCCTGTTCATTTCTTCTCCTTTATGCCTTGGCTTACTCTACTCCAGCTGTACCTGCTTTTGTGGCTGCCCTCATGCCAAGGCTCTCCTGCCTCTGGGCCTTTGCCTTTGTCCTTCCTAAGCCTGAGAACCATGCTTCACCTGAAGTTCCTGTCCTCTGATGGATGCCCACATCTTCACAGAGGCCTTCCTCCAAGTAGATCCCTACCACCACTCTCAAGCTCTTTATTTGGCTTTGGAGGGTCACAGGCGTTAAATGCTTCCCAGGTTCCACAAGAGAGGCAGCCCTCTTCAAGGCCTGGCTGTAGTTTCAATACCAAAGCACTTTTCACTCATAACGACCTACACTATCCTACATGTCTTGGTAAACTGGTTCCTGAATGTACTTGGCACACATAGTTAATCGTAAAGATAAAATAAGCTAATGATAGCCAGGAGTGGTGACCCAGACCTGTAATTCCAGCACCCAGGAAGCTGAAGCAGGAGGGTCAAGAATTCAAAGCCAGTCAGGCTTTAAGAACCTATCTTTAAAAACTGAATTAATGATCGGAAAGTGTTTTGTAAGCTATAAAGCACTACCTAAATGTGAGCATCATGGGTATTACTGCTGCAGTTATAGCTACTATTTATCAAGTACAGGATGATTGTCCCTAATCCTAAAATTCAAACCATGAAATGCTCCAAAATGCAAAACTTTCTGAACATTGATACGATGCCACATGTGGAGCATTTGGTGTGTGAGCTCTTGTGAATGGTCAGTCAGAGCACTGTGATGGTATGAAATTACCTTCAGGTTTTGTGTATAAGGTGGACATGACACATGAATGAATTTTGTGTTTAGTCTTGGGTCCTATCCCCACGATACCTCATCGTGTATATGCAGATATTCCAAAACCTAAAATAACAACAACTACAACAACAAACCCCAAAATCTGAAACAGTGCTGGTTCTAAGCATTTTGGATTCGGATATTCAACCTGTATTCACAGATTACCAGACTACACTCTATACCATTTTTCAGTGCTTCTGCAACTTCATGAAACAGATGAGAAACAGAAACTCAGGATGATGAAGTAACTTTCCCATAGGGACATGCTGGTGAGACTGCAGAGCTGACATGGCTCACCTGCCATCCCCTTGTTGCTAGCAAGGGGACATAATTACCTTTTGTTGCTTGTCACTGTCAGGTAACTTATTCCTGGAATTTCAAGAGGAGTTCGAGCAAGTCTATAAGTTCTACTGTGCCAACTACGACCAGGCCCTGCTGCTGGTCAAGGCATACCGGGAGGAGCCGGAGCTGCAGCAGGAGATCCAGGGCGTCATTGAGGCAGTGGTGTGAGTAGCATGACCACTGAGTCCTTGTTGCTGTCCCATTGACACTGGGTCCGGGGTAAGCTAGTCTCAACCTTACCTACTAAGGGCTGCTCATGCTGTTTCAGAAGTATGTCAGTGTCAGCACCTGTATTAGTCAGGTTAAGCCAGGCCATGCTGCTGAGATAAGCAGCTCTCAAATCCCAGTGGTTTCAAACAAAGGTTTCTATCTTCCTTATGCTTCACTGAGGGCTTTTCCCTTCACAGCAGCCAGTGTCTAGAATATTGCCTGTATCAGTGGCAAAGGAAAAAGGAGGTCTAGAAGTCAGGCACTAGGATTAAATTCTCTAGTTCAGATGCTATACCTGTCCCTTCATTGACTAGGACTAATTGTTGCATCATCCACCTGCCAGGAGTCAGGGTACACCATCCTACATTGTGTCCAGAGTCAGAAAAGCAGAAACATTTAGCTAATGGCATTACTGTAGGGAAGGTCAGTGACATGGAGGAGCTCGGGGTTGCCAGTAGCAGTGATGGGAGGCAGGTGGGATCACCTTAGGTCCCCCTCCCTACAGATAGCTGAAGTCCTGCCTTGGACTTCCTCACAGCCTAGAGCTGGCATCCATGGGTAGAAGCTCCAGGTAGACAAATGCAGCAAATATATTTTTATTTAAAATTTTGAATAGGTAACAATAGTTACATGGTTCAATATATATAGAAGATAAACATTGATAACCACCTCCAAAGTTAAGGTAATTGCTTTTAGATCTTTTATGTATCTTTGTGTAGTTCCTTTTTGCATGTTCAAGCAATTACAAAATTATTTTCCTGACTTTTTTTTCTTTTATTTATTTATTGGTGGTACTGTTTAAGGAAGTAATCAGTCACATGTACCACACCCCCAGCCCTTTTTCTTGCTTTGGTTATTTTTTTCAGATAGTATGTTTTGCTTTTTGCCCAAGTCATCCTGGACCTCGATCCTCCTTGAGCTCCCCATGCTGAGAAGCTGAGATTACAGATATGTGCCACCCCCCATACTCTGGGTTTTTTCCTTATTTTTAAATGAGAGCTTGTCTCCTGTCTGTAGTCTCACCTATGTATTACCTCTCTTGGGGCCTTTCCGTGTTAACACATAGTGTGCATGGTCCTTTGGCCCTTGGATGGACATTTGGTTTGCTCCCATTCTCGTAGAAACAGTTGGTGCTACAGTGTGTGCTCATGCACATCAATCATTTTGCAAGTATGCCTGCAAAGTACATTTCCAGCAGTAGAATTGCTAGGGCAAAGAAAAGATGGATTGATAATTTTGAAACTTCAAAATTTCTCTTTATAAAGGCTGTGTCAGTTTATCGTACCATCAGCAGCACAGGCACAAGCTTGTTTCCACACAGCCTCTCCAGCACAGTGTGGTTCAAACGTCAGCATATTCGCACTGGGATGGGTGGAGGATGGAAGAATGGTGTCTCAGTTTTGTGTTTTGTTTTCTGCAGTACTAGGGATTGAGTTTAAGAACTCACACCTGCTAGGGGCAGGCACTCTTGTCACTTGAGCTACATTCCTAGCACTTTGGTTTTAGTTTGTTTTTTAGGTAGGGTCTGGGTGGTCTTGGATGGTGATCCTCCAACCTGTGGCCTCTGGAGTAGCTTGGATTACAGTCATGAGCACCATGTCCAGCCTTCAGGATGGTTTTCTTTTGCCTTTGTCTTATGACTTAAGAGTCATTTGTCAGTCCTTTCATGCAAATTGTTCTGCTTCTTTTTTATGTCAAAAAGAATTGTATCTTTTCCAGGACAAACTCAACAAATGGAGGTAGAGCATTGTTTTCTGGAAATCAGACTAATGTAGGAAGAAAAAGTTATTAATGCTATTATTGGTATTACCACTCTTATAATTTACCTGAATTTATCAGCCATCTCTTTTGCATAAGAGAAAGACAATGACAGTGCAGTTTCAGGTGTTTGCAGATGACATCATCTGATGTGGAGCCTCCTGCCATTGTCCCTTCCTCCTCTCCCATATCTTTCTTTCACTCCTCAATTTCTCTTTCTACTAAAGTCTCCTTTTCAAGTAAGTACCCATGTCCTAGCTCTTCCCTCCCTCCATAAAAACTGTACTCATTTCCCCCTCACACCCTACAGCAGCCAGGCAAGCCTAGTGCCAGATGTGGGACAAGAGGGAGTGAGGGGGACTGGGATAACCTGAGACAACAGACCCTGTGTAGAGTGCAGCTGTAGCACAGACTTTGGGGACTGTGGCTATCAAGTACTTCTTGCTAGACAACAAGCCATCCCCAAAAGTTGTGGCTTAAAACATTCATGTAGCTCCCAGCCTGCATCTGAACAATGTGGTTGGGCTGAGCAAATAATTCCTCTGGTCCTGGGTGGGCACCCCACACATTTGCAGTCATCTGCAGGTCAGCTTTGCTTATCTGTTGGACTCTCTTGTGTATCAGACACACGAGCCTCCTCAGGTCTGGTCACATGGTTTCTCTTCTTCCTGGAGTCTGGCATGTGTGGTGGTTGTCATAGGGCTGTTGAGGAGTGGGGGGAGGGCAAGGCCTTAGGAGATATCACTCAAATTCTACAGCTAGCCCAGACTCTAATTCTATGAGAATGGGCTTCAAAGTCACATTCAAAGCTCTGTGTACAGGGAGGGGAACAATTGCAACCAGTTTTTGTAAACTACATGCCTCAGTTAACATGTCAGAAAGTGAGTCCCCTGTGGCCAGGGCCTCTGGTTTTTCAAGAGAAGCTAGAAATATAGATGCAAGCACACTCTCCCTCCCCATAGTGTGCAATGCTGCCATCTTGTCAAAACCGGTTCAGCATTGTGTGTGTCGGGGAGGGTCCTAGTTGGCATCAAGGTTGTTCTTTGTCACATTCTCTGCGGTCTGAGCTTTTCTCAGAGGCCCTGGAACCAGGCTGCCTGTTGAGGGATCTGGCTTGGCTCCCTACCATGAGAGCCATTTTCGTCTCAGAACCTAGTTTCCTTATGGGTCAGGTGGGAGTCATAACCCCACCTCATGGAGCACAGACACATGGCACACAAGTGACACTCAACAAATCCCAGCTATTCTAGTCATCTTGGCCCAGCAGGGTTTATATTTTCTCTGAGATTACGCTGTGATTCTCATCTCCATCAGTCCCACTGCCTGCTTTTTATAACAAATATTAAATACATGTATTATCCTGCAGTAGATCCTTAAAAATATATATTCTACCTGTATACATAACTGAAAAAAATGAAGATAATGTCAAACTAGAAGGGAGAAATAAAAGGAAAATAACTTCTAATAAGAGACTATGAACTTCAGTGTGTAAACACTCAAGCACCATGACATAAAAAGAGACAATGAAGCAATTGATGCTGGCATCTACTTGTAACAAGGGAGTTTAGATTTAAGGAAAGAAATGTCTGAAGCCATTCAGACTGTATGAGAAGTACAGGAAAATGAAGGAGCAGAGGGTGTTTGTACTGTAGAATAGCAGTAAAAACAACCCTGACTTCCTTGTATATGATACAGGAAAGAGCAAACAAAGATGACTGAAGTACAAACCAGGGAGGCAGAGAAAATGAGGATGGGAGATAGTCTTGCAAATGACATGAGTCTTATGTATAAAAGATAGCATCATAGTAATTCACAGTGTGGTACCATGTGACTGGATAGAGACCAACGGTCACAAATGTGGTTCACTTCTTGAAATCCTAGTACATTTGAGGCCCCTTCTCAGGCTCCAAACGTTTAAAGGCACATGTGAGACGTGGAACAATTTCTAGTGCAAGTCTGGGCATGGTCCCTGCCCACTAAAGGTCTCTATATCCCTCGGAGCCTGTAGTTTCCACAATGCCCCCAGCAAGGACGTCTGGTCTGAGGCTGTGCCAGAAATGACATTCTTCCTGAATGGTGTGACTGTTGATCTCCTCCCTCTTGAAATAATGATCTTGGCTTCCCTGAGCTTGGCCAACTCGAGTCACCATACTGGCCACAAATGCTCCTTTCTCAGGTGTCAGCATACATGGGAACTCTAATTATATTCTTTGTGGTTCCAAAATGCACGCTGCCTGACCTTTATTTGCGTGGGTGAGTGGGTGGGGCAGTAGTCAGTCTGTCCTATCTTTTAAGGGAACACTTCCACTGAGAGCCACTGGGATCAAAGATTACCTTTGCAGCAGGCCGAAAGCTCTGCCCTAGGTAGGAAGGACCTTTCTCACTGTGCAGGGTGACAAAGAACCTTGCAAAGACGGATCAGTCCTGCTGGACACCAGTGGCTCATGCCTGTAATCCTAGCTACTCAAGAGCCAGAGATCCAGAGGATCATGGTTGGAAGCCAGCCCCCAGCAGATAGGAGACTGTGTCTTGAAAATGCCCGACACAAAATAAAGGCTGGTGGATAGTTCAAGTGGTCGAGTGCGTGAACCACCTCACTCAGCTCCCCGTGTTCTTCCCAGGAACTTCCCAGAGTTCCTTCCAGGACAGCTCATAGACTTGAAATTTTTTTTTTTTTTGACCATTCTCCTGTTGATGGATTTTGGGGTTTTTTCCAGGGTTTTGCAATCACATAGAGAATTGCTGAATAACTTGTACCTCTGTCCTTGTTTGCTTGAATCAGTGTTTCTGTGGGTAGATTTCTGGACTGGGGTAGGTGGGGCAAAGGGTTTGTACATGCACAAATTACTCCAAGAAGATCTTGCCAAGTGACACCTCCACCAAGCGAATGCAAGAAGTGCTCTTCCCTCAGGCTCACCCAGCTCTGCAGATTATCCCATTTTGGCTGCCTGATAGAGGCTATGTAAAGTTTTCTCCAAATTCCTAAGAAAGGCTGTAAATGTGAGTGGCTACCATCATTCTGTGGGGACGCCTTGCTGATTGTGAAGAATGGATGTGATCATCTTCTTTAAGGACCCTTACCCTCCGATTTGTAAGGTAGCAGTTGTCCCAGGAGGCATTTGGCTCTTTCCCATGGAAAGTAGGCCCAGAAGATGGAGTTTCCAAGTCTGCCAACTGTTTCCATCTCCTCTGCCCACAGTCCGCTGAGTTCCAGGACACCCCTGGTGAGAGCAGATGGGCAATGTAGGCACGTCCTGACAGTAATCCTACCCTGCTCCCACCTCTGCAGCCTCCGAGGGAGCTCCCACCTGCCCTGCCTATTCTTAGCCTCATGAGCGATCTTTCCCAGGCATTTGGTCTGAAGATTTTTCCGTAGGAAGAACAGCAAGAGGCAAGGGGTCTGTTACGGAGGATCAGAGGCTGATCCTGTGCAGAATTTGTGTCCTCTTGGGAGGCAACTTGGACAGTTGAGGGTTGAAATTCTGTCGGTTTCTCAGAAACTGCTAACAATCAAGGAAAACCTGTTGGAGCCTCTTCCTAGTTGCCCTTGACCTGGGAATTCTGGATGAAATTCTAGACATTGTCAGGAAGGCTCTGGGAATAATTGACCAGGCACTGGTGGCACACCTCAACTAGGCCTCAGCACTATTTGTTCCAGTGTTTTGTTGTTTCCCTTTTTCTAATAAAAATTTCAGACCTATAGAAAAATCAGATAAGCTAGGTGCCAGTGGCTTATGTCTGTAATCCTAGCTACTTGAGAGGTTGAGATCAGGAGGATTGTAGTTTGAAGCCAGCCTGGGCAAATAGTTCATGAGACCCCATCTCCTAAATAACCAGAGCAAAATGGACTGGAGGTGTGGATCAAGTGGTAAAGTGCCTGCTTTGCAAATGTGAAACCCTTAGTTCCAACCCCAGTCCCATCAAAATTAAAAAAAAAAAAAAAAAAAAGAGAAAGAAAACTAGGATAATGTAGTAAACAGTCACCTACCCAGTACTTAAAATGAGCAAAGTTTACCTTTTGCTGTTTATTTCAACTATTTTTATGCTAAACTACTTAAAGGTTATGACTTCTTGCCCCTAAATACCTTAAGTGCATCTCTAAAATTTATGTCCTTATGATTTAAAAAAGTGTTTTAAAGGCAACAGACCATTTTCTTAAATGAAATGTCCTGTAGCTAGCTGTCCAACATATAGTGGTGCTTAGACACACCTAAGAAGAGATGTCAAGTAGGCTGCACGAGTCTGGGGCCCTGGAGAGGAGGGGAAGATGAGGGGTTGGGATATAGTTAAGACCAGAAGACCAAATGAGGCTGTTAAGGGAGCTAGTGGGAGGAGAGGAGGCCCCAGGACACTCCAGCATTGAAGAGAGGCCAGCAGGGGAAGCAAGAGAGTGTGGTCTATAAAGTGAGAAGACACTGGGTGGGGCAGGTGTCTGGGAAGAATGTGATTCAGGAAAGAAAGTGTGGTCAGCCATGTTGGCTGCTGAGAGGCTGAGTAAGTTAAGGACAGAGAACAGACCATTGGATTGGTACAGATGAGGAAGCCAGGCCAGGGACTGGCACACCCACCTAACATCTAGACCTCAGTGAGTACCACAGCGGGGAGGGTGGCTGGGCTCAGAGCACACAGCAGTAAAATAACACCTGAGCCTACATCACAGACTCCTGGTTCCCTGAGGGGTGAGCTTTATCTGTCTGATATCAGCCTTCTCCCTCAGGCCACAAGCTGGATCTTCGGGCCTCAGTTTCTTATTGGTAATTCCTCTGCAGAGGATTACCAAGTATCCACTGCTGCTGCAGAAGATCCTGGAGAACACACTCCCTGATGCCAGTGCCTATGCTGCTCTTCAAAGGGCTACTTCTGCCCTCCAGAATGTGAACACCAACATCAATGAGTACAAGATGCGCAAGGAAGTGGGTAAGAACTTGGAACATTCAGGGGATTCATCAGTGAAAATGGTTCCAGTTTATAAAAACTCATCTCAGATTGGCTTCACCAACAAAGAGAATGTAGAGGCTTTTATAACTATAAATCAGAGATAAGGTGGGGTTTAGGTAGGGTTTGATCAAGGTGCTTGCTGCATTTCCTTGTGATTTTCTTATTTCTGCTGTTTACTATATGTATATAAGATTTATCTTCAGGCTGGTTTCCCTCAGAGTAGCAAGTGGCTATTTCTGTTCCAAGACTCATACCTACACACCACACCCTTGGGTGGGGAGGCATGAGTAATGGGGCTTGAACTCAAAGCCTGAGGCTTGCTAGGCAGGCACTCTACTACTTGAGTCACTCTTCCAGTCTTTCCCCCTTAATCATAATTAAATGGGCGCTTCAGTCTGATAAGACCACTCAGGTCATGTGCTCTCCATGAACCAATCACTATGGTTAGGGGAATGACATAAACTGATTGGTTTAAGATTAGGTTATATGCCCTTCCTTGAATCAATCAGAGTTGCTAGGAGGATGGGTTTATAGGGATTGGCTTATACCAGTCAGCACCCACCCCTGGAGTCATACTGGGTCCAACCCATCCATGCTGGTGGCTTGAGTGCAGTGGAGGAGAAATGAACTCTGGGAAGTTAAAGAGCTGGATATAGATGTGGGGGGAGGGATTGGAGGGATCCCTGCCTTTAGGGTTGTTGAAAATGAAGCATTGTCCAAAGAATAGAGAAACAGCTGCGTGCAGAGACAACGTGATAATGATAACTTAGCTAATGTTTCTTTTTAAAAATTATTATTATTCTTTTGGCTGTCCTAGGGGTTGAACTCAGGGCCTCATACTTAGTAGACAAACTCTTCACCACTAAGCCACACCCCCAGTCTTTTTTGTGTTTTTTTTTTTTCATGGTACTGGAGTTTGAACTCAGGGCCTACACCTTGAACCACCCCACCAGCCCTTTTTTTGTGATAGGTTTTTTTTCCCCGAGATAGGGTCTCGTGATCTGTTTGCCGGCTGGCTTTGAACCTCAGTCCTCCTGATATCTGCCTCCTGAGTAGCTAGGATTACAGGTACAAGCCACCAGCGCCCAGCTGTGTGTTAGTTATTTTTTAGATAGGGTCTTGCTTTATGTCCAGGCTGTTCTGAACTGCAATCCTCCTATTTGTGTTTTCCCCACGGAGCTGGGAGTGACTGCACACACTACTGCTTCCAGCCATTGGTCGAGATGGGCGTCTTGCAAATTTTTTGCCCAGGCTGTCCTTGAACTGTGAACCTCCTGATCTCTGCCTCCCAAATAGTGAGGATTATGGGCTTAAACCACCATGCCCAGCCCTAAAATAATTATCATCTTAATTGTGCAAATATTTGTGGGGTACACTATGATAGTTCAATACACATACAGTATGTGGTGATCAAATCAGGGTGTTGATGAGATAATGTTTTTTTGTTTTTTGGTTTTTTTTTTATTCGTATGTACATACAATGTTTGGGTCATTGAGTTAATGTTTTTTAAGTGCTAACTAGACTGTATTTTTTCCTTTATTATCTTATTTGATTCTTATAGTAATCCTCCAAGATTGGTCCTGTTCATCCTCTCTCACAGTTGGGTAAATAAGAGCTTACCCAAGGGACAGAGCACCAGATTCTAAGCTCAAGCATGGGGTCTTACCACCCACACCATGCTACTTTTGGTAGCTTCAGATTTCCTCCCCATTTGCTTCCTAGTCCATGCAGAGAGGTAGGAAGCACTGAGTCAAGAATAGGAAGTGTGGTTCCCTGCTGACATGGCTAAAACTGCCTGAGGGACTCCAGGGAAATGTTTTTTTTTTTTTTTTTAATGAAAAAGCTTTTTTATGCTGGGTACCAGTGGCTCACACCTGTAATCCTAGCTACTCAGAAGGCAGAGATCAGGAGGATCTCGGTTTGAAGCCAGCTGGGGTTAATAGTTCTTAACACCCTATCTTGAAAAAACCCTTCACAAAAAAGGGCTGGTGGAGTGGCTTAAGGTGTAGGTCCTGAGTTCAAGCCCCAGTACAGCAAAAAAAAAAAAAAAAAAAAAGCTTTTTTATTCCTTTTATTCCAATTCAACGTGATTGGCCAGTCTAACCATTAGAATGTCCAACATTTCCTATTTTTGGCCATTTCTATCATGCTCAAATTTTGGTAAATCTGTCCTGTGTTCCCAGAATCACAGCATTCATTACCCTGGGCAGTCTTTCTAGAAAACGGAGAGATGAACACGACCTTTTCTTAATTTCATCTAACAAGTTTAAAATTCTTCATCTACTCACCAAGAATCATAAAGAAATGTTGCACACTTCTTAGGTGAAAACCCAGCATCTCAAAGGTCCTCTGTTGATTTGGAAGCAAGTGCCAGCTTCCACTCTAGGCTGCTTATCACACGGTGCCACACAGTGTGATTGTTAAGGAAAAAAATGGAAGGATATATTTTTCTTGAGGTTTTTTTTTTTTCAGACTCTTGAGTTTCTTCTAAGTCTGTAGTGGTCCAGCAACAATATCCACACTTTTTTTTTTTCTTGGCAATACCAGGGTTTGAACTCAGGACTTCATGCTTGCCAGGCAGGCACTCTATCGCTTAAGCCACCACTCCACCAGTCCAAGATCCTATATTCAGTATCCAATATTCTGATTGCAACTGTTTCTCTTGTTTCAGGTTTTTTGGGTTTTTTTGTGTTTTGTTTTGTTTTTTCCCAGATCCTGAATTTCTTCTAAATCTGTAATGACCCAACCACAGGAGTGAGAGCATTGAGGCCATTGTCTGATGAGAAAGTTCAATTCTAACTGGGGAAAGTTACCTGAGTCCCAGCCTACTCAGCCTGGCATCACACCTATCACCTAGAACAGTAAATCGACATCCAAGGTCTTGCTTTTGTAAGAAACAGAACTATATATAATATAAAACACCAGAAAGTATGAAGATGCTACAGAATGTCTTTTGCTTCTTTTTCTAGGACAGTGGACTTGCATAGAAAGTTTTCTCATTTTTTTTTCCCTCTATTCCTCTCTGTCCAAACTTAAAGGCAGGTTATACCATAGGGTCCATCACATCTTCTCAGCTAAAAAGTCACTTTTGCCATTTTTCTTCCAGCCTTAGCCATGCAAAAAACAAAGGTTTGCTTGCTTTATATGACTCCACAAAAGGGATGGAAAGGTTGTAGTGCAGCAGTGTCTTAGGGAGGTGCATAGGGCTCCATCAAAACTGTTTCTTTATTTTTTTTGTTTGTTTTTTCTTTTGTTTCTTTATAAATTAATTTTTTCCTTAAAATTTTTTTGGGGGTGGTCACAGGGTCTTGCTATGTAGCACAGGCTGAACTTGCACTTATATCCTCCTGCTTCCTCCTCCCAAGGGCTGGGATTGCAGGCGTGTGCCACTACTTCCAGCCTACGTTGTTTTCTTTTCCCACTCTCTGAGTGAAGTACAAACATGCATTCACAGGGTTGGCTGCTGCACAATCTGGTCCTTAATTAGAAGAATGAAAAACATTTAAAAATACCAACTGTCCAAAGCTTCTGAAAATCAAGTCAACAACAGATTCCTTTTCCAAGAGAAAAACCCCTCCATTCATCCAAAAATGTGTATCTGTACAGAAACTGTGATGGCTTACTCACAGATGAAATCAGCCTTAGTATCTTGTCTTAATGCCTCTTTACCACATCAAAGGTTTAACTGCAAAACTGGACCTTTGTTTTTATCCAGTAAACCTATGTCACAGGATAAGCCAGGATTTAGAAATGGAACTTTTTAGTGTCCCTTTCATTTCAAATTATAAAGAATATTTGAAATTTACTACTGCAGTCTCAACTGTGCTTATCATAATAGTGGCCCCGGGCGGAGTGGCTCAAGTGGTAGATCACCTGCCTAGCAATAATGAAGCCCTGAGTTCAAACTCCAGTACCACCGAAATAAATAAATAATAAATAAATAAAGGTATTAGTAATAACAATAATAATAATGATAATAGTGGCCCAAACTAGAAGACATTTAAAAAGAAAACCCGAAAAATCCATGCTACTTATTGCTACTTAGTCTTCTTGTTTACGACAAAAAGGGATGAATTCACAGGTGTCATGACCAATGCACCTGTTTCAAATTAAACATCATCCTTCCTCTTGCAAAAGAACTTCTTTATAATTAATCAAACCGCAGCAGATGACCTCTGTCAGTTGCTGTTTCCTTCCTGGAGAAGTCAGCAGGATAACTGCATCCTAAGGGCTTCTCCGGGTTGAATGTGAGAGGTGAAACAACAGCAAAGCAGTCTTTTCTATTCCAAACCATGAAGGTAAGGTGGAGAAAGATGCCCATGTTTCAATGGGGAAAGTGGCTGAGTAGATAGATTACTGCTGGAGCAGATGGCGTAGACATTGTCAAGTCCTGAGTTCAGAATTCTGGTTTGACACAAATATGAAAAGCACCTATGGAGAGGAAAATGTTCTTCCTGTGTGACAAGTTCATGACACAGTCCAGCAGACATACTTGGCCTCCTAGGGGACATCCCTTCCCATTTGCTTTTTTCTTTTCTTTTCGTGGTACTGGGGTTTGAACTCAGGGCCTCACGCTTGCTGGGCAGACACTCTACCACTTGAGCCGTGCCACCAGCCCCTTTTTGTGTTGGGTAATTCCTTCCTTTCTTCCTGTCTTTCTCTTTCCCTCCCTCATTCCTTCCTTCCTTCCTCCTTTCCTTCCTTCCTTCTTTCTTTCTTTTGAAAGTTTTAGCAAGGATTTATTTTACTATAACAGGATAAAGTATAGACAAGGGGAGGGGGAGAGGAAAAGAGAGAGAAACATTTCCTTTTCCCCATGCAGGAAATGGGAGCAAAGACTCCTTGTGTTGGGTTTTTTCGAGATAGGGTCTTACGAACTATTTGCCTGGGCTGGCTTCAAACGGAGATATTCCTGATCTCTGGCGTGAGCCACCAGCACCTGGCCTTCCTTGTTATCTTATGTGATCATCCCTGCAATCCTGAGAGGTGGTGTCCTTATTTTGCAGATGAGGAAACTGAGGCTCTAAGGAGTGGTGACTTGCACAAGTCAAGCAGGCAGGCATCTCTTCAGCCTGGGACAGAGGATCCTGAGCACCGGGCTGTCCCTGTACCATGCTCCATTCTGATGGGTGTGATCCTGATGTAGCAGGGGGCCCAGCCAGGCATGGCGGGGATGCTTGCGTTCCTGGGTTACCCCAGGTGCCTTCCCTCTTCTCTATCACTGCAGCCTCCAGGTACACCAAGGTGGAGCAGCTGAGCCTCCGAGAACAGCTGGCCCGGATCAACACACACACCCTGTCCAAGAAGACCACCCGGCTGAGACAGCTGCTGAAGCAGGAGGCAGGGCTGGTGTCCAGGGTGAGTCACCCCAGACATGCCCAGGGTCCAGACCAGGGTTGAAGAAGACCGAGGCTCTTTTCGGATGTGAGGCAGCTGAGGCTGAGAGTGAGGGACAAGGAAGAGCAGTGTGGCACTCCTCTTGCTCTGGGGCTTCTTTGCAGACAGGAGAGCTAGTCTCTGGTTTGGGTAAAGAGCCAGCCTCAGATAGCTCAGGTTGATTGAGGGCTTCTTCTGAAGCAGCATTATTTGGCCCACAGAGTGAAGTAGGTGTCCTTATTACCTCCATTTTGCAAATGAGAAAACAGAAGCTCACAGAGGGTAAAACACTTGCTATGGTCACATAGCTAGGAAATAAATTATTTGACTCATATGCCTGTATACCTGATTTCATGGTCGGATCACAAAACCATCTGTTTGTTTTGAGACAAAGTCTTACTATGTAACCCAAGTTGGCCTTCAACCCACAATCTTCCTGCTTTGTCTCCAAGTGCTGGCATACGCCATTCCAACCAAGGCGTGCCTGGTTTATACTACCTTTTAACTATACCCCTCAGCCTTGGGGCTGGAGGGCTGGCTCTAGTGGATTCATCTGTGAAAACATTGTCCCCTGTGAGGACTTGGGACATGGGAGCCTATTGTACACTGCCCCCATGTAGACCGTTTCAGCTGTCACATGCATGACTTTACTTTCAGACAGAAGACAAGGAATTTGATGTCTTGGAGGAGAGGTTCCAGTGGGTGTCTCTGTGTGTGACCGAGCTGAAAAACAACATGGCTGCTTACTTGGATAATCTGGAGGTGAGGACCCTACAGAGTTCATAGTGGATGTGTCTGAGCTGGTGGCCAAGCCACAGCTGTGGAGGCCCCAGCCACAGGGGCCCTGGCCAGCGGTGGCAGGAGAGAAGGAGAATTGAGTCAGGAGTGTGGATGAGACTACCTCAGCCGCTAGACGAGGGCTGCTTCCCAGGGGGCAGAGTCTGAGACCCCAGCGAGACTGGCACCTGGAGCAGGGAGACAAACTCAGAGGCCGAAAGGGGCCAGGCAGCTAATACTATAGAGGGAAGTGGGTAGGAGACAGTCAATCTGCTATACTAGGAGTCTGAGGCCTAACCAGCTGATCACGAGACACTTTTAGTTGATGTAAATGTAACGTTTGAAATTTGGAAAGCCGAATGGATAAATAAATGATCTAATGAACCAGCTGTAACTTGACTCTGGAAGGTTGTTGCTATGTGGGAAGGTGGGCCCACTGTGGCCAGGTCTTTCTCATTTTAAGAAAAAAGAACTGGGAATTCAGACTTTTGGGTGAAATCCTTCATGTGTCAATATAAGTAATTTGTTAAATAAGAATTTAAATGCCACACAGGCCCAAGATGTATCTCTTCAAACTGAAGTCTCTACCGGCATCCCCCTTTTCTTGTTGGTGCTAGCTCATTGCATCCTCTCTGCCCCCTGGTGGTAGTGTTCTCGGCCCCCCTCCATCTGCACAGACCAGCTGGGATGCCAAGAGGCCTGGTGGATGATGGGATTGAGGTGGCATTATGGGAAGTATGCCAGGGAAGGAGGACATGGATGCGTGCTCCTCCACGTGTAGAGGCCACAAACCAGTGGCCTGTGTGCTGCCTATCTACAGCAGTTTATTACCGGTTTTCCCTTTATGGTAGCATCATATGTTTTTTTTTTTTTCTCTCTCTTTTTAATGCATTCGTGTAAGTAGGAACAGCTGATTTAAAGAAAAGCATTAACAGAATATGTGGAATGTGGACATGGCAAAAGAACCATAAGGTGGTACATAGATGTGTGAGAATTCAGAAACACTGTGGGGGAGTGGGAGAGCCATAGGCTCAGTCTCGGGATGAATTTCTAATCACCCAAGCTGTGCAAGAACATGGTAGTCTGAGTGCTTGCCTGTCATGGAGCTGTGCAGGCAGCCTGGACAACCTTTGCAGGAGGTCTCCTGGAGGGGAATTCAGGCATCAGATGGCCACAGTGGGCCGTGACTGCCTGTCTCCTGTTGACTCTGGGCCCAGACTTTCCTCAGATTCCGGCCACACGAATGCAATCTGGACATCCCTGGAGGGCCTGCAGAGCTGTATTGCAGCCTGGCAAGAGACCTTCAGCGCAAGGCCTTCCTGGAGTTTGTGAGTGGGACTTCCTTTCTCCTTTCTTTATCAGGCAGGTAGCAGAGCCTACTAGAAATATTTAGAAGTCAGGCACTTTATGCAATTGTCACATCCACAACTGCCCTGGGTGGCCAGCAGGATAGGGATTACTATTCATGCATTTTCTGATAAAAATAGCTCCAGCTAGTGTGTACTGAGCTGCACCCTCTGCCAGAAACTGTGCTAAGCCCTTTCCATTTTTGACCTTACTTGCTCCCTGCCACATGCTTTGGCGGAGATATTATTAATATCCCATCCTGTAGATGGGCACTTGAGACTCAGAGAGTGTGACCTCCTGGGTTATTTATATAGATAGTGGCACATGGGGGTCTGAGTCCCAAAGTCTGTGCCCTTGACCACCACTCTGTAAAATCTTTTCCAAGCTCTTTGCACAGTAGCAATACTAAAAAGTAAAAGGAACTGAGTGCTTAACCTGTGCTGAGCCTGTTACTAGTCATCCCTGTTTTTCAGACTGGCAGACTGAGGTCCAGAGTGGTTAGATAGCATGCTGCAGGTTGCAACTAGCTGATAGACGGGGACTGAAACCCAAGCTGCCTGCCTCCAAACCCTTTCTCCCAGCCCTGCCCTCTGGAACCTCCTGTCCTGGCTCCCAAACTCCCTTCTCCCCACAGAAGCAACGGCTGGAAAGCCTGGTGTGGCAGCCGCTGTGCAGCCTGGCCAAAGCCCTGGTTGGTCCTCAGAACCTGATCAAGAAGCGTCTGGACAAACTCCTGGACTTTGAGCGGGTGGAAGAGAAGCTGTTGGAGGTGGGCAGCATGACCTATGAGGAGGAGGCAGCCCGGCACACGTACCAGGCACTCAACTCCCTGCTGGTCTCTGAGCTCCCGCAGTTTAACCAGCTGGCCGTACAGTTGCTCGGGCAGATCCTGCACACATTTGTGGCCCTCCAGCAGGACCTTGCAAAGCAAGTGCTGCAGAGAGCAGAGGGCAGCCTGGCCCAGGTAAGGCCACAGGGACTGGAGCACCTCTGGGGCCTAGTCCCTTCAGCCTGCTGTTTGCAGGGATGGGATGAAGTGAGGTTGGCCCTTCCAAATAGGTCATCAGGCACCCAGGAGGGAGCAGTGGGGACTTTTGTGATCTCTCTTCCACCGTGTTCTCCCTCCTTTAGTAGAGTTAGGTGACAGAAGCAAGGATTTGGCTGGGACCCCAGGTGGTCCCTGAGGAGGCTTTGCTGGGAATGTAGCAGACTTGGCCCCAGCCTGGAGTTTATCACAAGGTGGTGACAGACAGAAGGTGCCTTCTACATAGGAATAAATGTTTCCAGCTGAGTATGGAGGATGGGGACTGCTCTCAGCAGTCCTTAGGATGTACTTCTATGGGGGTTCTACTGCTACTGTCGGCAGAGACTGATGCCAAGTCCCTGGTCTCACTGAAGAAAGACTACGGGGCACACATACACAAGCACTCAACAAAGAAGATTTATTTAAGCAAAGGCTAGAGTTTATGAAAGTAGAACTGATCATGAAGTGATAGTATACTCCAGAAGGAAACTGAGGGCAGAGGGCAGCTTGACTAAGCCAAGTGCCCCAAGCCTCTGCCTTCGGCGTTTTCTTGGAGAGGGTTTGATGGTGACGCTGGTGATTATGCTAAAAGGATATGTCCATAATTGTGGGGCTTCCTAAAGAATGGGAGGACATTTCTAAGAACCAGGGAATGGGTGGTGGCTTACCTAGTAAGGTATCCACAGAGCCAAGATGGCAATTTGAGGGTGCATGCAATGAGATGTCAGTGAGGCCTCTTGGTAGCCTCTAGAGTTCCCAAAATGGGGACCATTGGCCTCTGTACCAAGAAGTAGCCTCAACCATAGTCAACTGTTTCTCCAGGGCGATGGGGGAGCAGGAGGTTTGGCAGAATGAACCCGGATACACTACTGTACCTGTTCCCTGGCTCCTCCTTGTTACTATCATTCCCTTTCTATCTACCCACCTCACTACTTCCAGATGCCTCCTCCGGTGAGCACTTTTTCCACAACAACCATATAGACTAGGTATTGTTATTTTCCTCATTTCAAAAATAAAGGCGCCAAGGCTCAGAGAGATTAAGTACTTGAAAAAGCTGTTAGCTGTGTGAACCCTGGCTAATCAGTTCAGAGCCTGAGCCCTGAACACAGTGCTCAAGAGCTTATAAAAGGAGTTATGAATTAAAAGCATAAACAGATTCCTAGGAGGTTTGAACAAACCTTTAAATGCAAACTTGCAGTTTAGAATCTTTTTTTTTGGTAGTACTGGGGTTTGAACTCAGGGCTTCACGCTTGCTAGGCAGATGCTCTACCTCTTGAGCCACTCCGCTAGTCCTTTCCTGTGTTGGATTTTTTTCAAGATAGGGTTTAGCAAACTTTGCTGGCTTCGAGCCGTGCTCCTGATCTCTGCCTCCCGAGTAGCTAGGATTACAGGCACGAGCCACCAGCACCTGGATCAGTTTAGAATTTTGAAGGCTGGGGTGGTACAGGAGAGACCACCCTGTAGCCACCTCCACATCTTGCTCTGTAATGTCAGATTCAGAGCTGAATGGCTTGTCAGTTAGATCTTGGCAACATTTTCTTTACTCCTTGTTCCCACACTGCCTCCTGTGTTTCATGTTCCCCAGCTCAGCCTTGCCCATCCGAGTCATTTTTTGGTAGTACTCAGGGATGAACTTATGGCCTCAAGCTTCCTTGGTAGGTGCTCTACCACTTGAGCCACAACCTCAGCCCCCACATCCAACTCTTTGCATGAAAATCCCTTTAAGATTTGCCCCGGTCCATCACCTTCTAACCCACAGCCCCACTCTATGCTCCCCTCCCCACTCCAGTCCCTGCCTCCAACACACCCCTTCTGAGTGTGGCCGTGTTGCCTTTGCACGGTACTCCTCCCTGGCTGTCATCCCCCAGACCTTTCATAGTATCTGCCCACGATGACAGTGAATGAATCTTTTCACGGAGCTCTCGGAGTTCCCATCCCCGTTCTCTGCACCCCATGTCCTTAGCGTGCACTGTGTTGGGCACTTACCAGAGCCTGCCTTCTCCTGGAGTGATGAGGGTGCTGACTCTCTTCAGTCCTGAGGACTGGCATCATGCCATTCCCTCTCTTGGACTTTCTCAGTATTTAGCACAGAATTACCTGAGACACTAAGATGAAGGAGGCCTGAGCCATCTGCAAAAAGAGAGTGAAAGAGTTTAGGTGATCTTGTCACTCTCCTCCAGTGCTCTGCACCCTGAGGGTGTAGGCTGAGATGTGCAGGGCTGAGGATGCCAACAGGGGCAGGTCAAGCTTATAACAGCCGAAAGGGAGGTCGTTTCCTGACTGGTCCTGTACTGTGGGCTGTTTGACCTGTCGAGGATGGCTGCCAGCCATCTTGTCCGGTTCACCTGGACCCGTCCCCATGGTACTAAGGAAAGTACTGCATGGCAGGAATGTCCATCTCTCCATAGCCTAGGGGAGAAAGGCCCTGGGTCACAACTCACAGCAGCAAGTTTGGCTACAAAGCAGAGAGTTGGACCTGTCTCTGTTAGCTGTGGGGTCTCCCTCTCTCTTATCTTCTCTGATGAGATTGAGAGAGATCCTTAACTAGATCAAGGTCTCGGGACAGAGCGTTTCTCAGAACTCTTTGGTTGCAGGTAACATAAACCTAAGCCAAACTTGCTGGAACATAAAGAAGATGCATTGACCTGCATGACTGGGAAGCCGGGAGGGGCGTCAGGGCTCAGGCGTGACCACATGCAGGACAAATAATGTTGTCAGGGCTTTCACCCCCTCTCCTTCCTCTGTTTCCATCTCCAGGTGGCTTTATTTTCAGGCAGGCTTTTTTTTTTTCCTTCTGCATGGTGGGAGAGATGGCTATGGAGGGCTATAAAACCTGTATCTTTACCTCTCATAATCCAAAGAAAGAATGGCCCTCGACTTCACAGCCTTCACACACTGACCCTGATGGGGGCTAGGTTCCAAATGGCCTTGCTGGGGTCTGTTGTCATCACTTGGACCAATGGTCATGACTAGGAGGAAGGGATGCCAGGACCACCATGACAAGTAGTAGTTCCAGACCCCCATAGAGGGATGGTTTCTTAAGGGAAACGGGTCCAGCAGGCAGACAAAAGCAACAGCTAGCCCTGATAGAAAAACCTACTGCGATAGATCTGGGGCTAGATGGTGGGCAGCCAGGGGTCTCCCTTGTCCCTTCTCTATAAAGGCTGTGTTAACAGTGTCTGTCCCACCCAGCTGCCCCACCACCTCACCTCAGAGCCTGCCTTCAGGAGGCTAGTCGAGGATGTGCTAGGCCAGACCGGTAACCAGCTTCGCTCCTTTCAAGAGACCTTCGAGAAAGTGCTGCCACCTCCCAGTGCTCAGGTAAGTGTTTCTCTCTCTCCCCCACAAAGATGTCCAGTTCCTCACCTGCCAGTGGGGAAGGTCAATCCCCGTCTTTCTATTTCTCAATATTTCTGTTACTCAAGGAAATGTGTTTTCTTCCTGTCTCTCTCTCTCTCTCTGATCTGGGGTTGGATGGGATGCACAGCCATGCGTACACCTGCTGTCCATGGCCAGCAAAGCATCTTATCCTTTCATCAAGAATAGGAAAATTCAGACATTTTCATATTGAAGTGAAATTAGACAAAAGGATGGCATTAACTTCCCCAAACTTAGAACTTCCTCAAGTTTCTCATCAAAATGTAGCCTTTTTCCTTATCACTTTTTAATACCAGCATTCAAAATGCGTAAAAAGTTTGAGCAAAAGATCATTTACATTTTCTTTTTGATACGATGTTTTAAATTGTAAAAGACACTATCAGCCACAAGATGGATGACAAACTTTTGGCTGGCCAAATTTTTTTTTTTAAGTAGTTTTTTCTAACATACAAGGAAAAGGTATCTCCCAGTCAGTCCAGCTGAAGAGTGCCCCCAGGTGGCCCATGTTTTAATAATAACTGAAGCAGCTGTAGGGGGAGGAGGTTACCAGAGTGTGGTGAAACCTGGATTTGAGAAAACTGAAAGTGTGCATTCATTCACATGTGAGATGTGAAATGACGGATCGCAGGCAGACACCAAGATGGGTCAGAGGGAGGAGAGGCCCCAGGGATACAGAGAAAGAAATGAAGGGCTCAGTAGAGCCAGGCAGATAAGGATGGCCTGTACATCTGCCAGAGGCTAGAGAATGTTAGAACCTGCGGTCTACCACAGGTGGGGAGGCTGTCTCCTGGGGCTACACCTGTTACCTCCTCCTACCCAACAGTTGGAGCTGCACCTGCAGAGGCACTATAGGGGTGGCCAGGGACCCTGCAACTGGGGGACAAGTGAAGGGGGCAGAAAATGGAGAATAGCAGATACTCAAACATATCCTGGGAACTTCCTCTCTCTAATGACAACAAATTAAAATAGTATGTCTCTTATTGAAAAAGCAATTGATAGAGACACAGCAAAAACAAAAATGAAGAAACGAACAGAAGCATCTGGGATCCCAGTGTGTATAACAGGTGGTTAGGAAGAGACCACCTTTTCTCAGCCTCCCACCCTGCCCCCACAGGGGTCCTCCTCTAAATTCCTCACTGATTAGGCTAAGACCCAGAGTCCTGTGGAAGTGAGTTGGCCCCGGGGACAGAAGTTATCCTGATAGTGTTTTCCATGCCTTTCCCTGGAGGCCCAAGTGCTGGGATTATAGATGTGAACCACCATGCCCAGCTCTATGGCTTTTATACTTATATCAACTACCATTCCCCCAAAACTACCCCCGCACACTGGCAGTTGTGATAAAAGCTCCCCTGTCTCTGTACTTCTATTTAGAAACATCAGGCAGTCTTGATTCCTTTTTTTTTTTTTTTTTGTGGTTCTAAAGATGGAACCCAGGACTATGCACATGGTCCTGATTCTTAATCCTGACTGCATCCCCACGAGGGCAGGGAACTGGCAGAGTCTATGCCCAAATGTCCTTTTTTAAATTTTTGGTGTACTGGGGTTTGAACTCAGGGCCTCAGTAGGCACTCCACCACTTGCATCACTTTAGCAGCCTTTTTTTGTGGTGGTTTTTTGAGATAAGAGTCTTGCAAACTGTTTGTCTGGGCTGACTTCAAACCATGATCCTCCTGATCTTTGCCTCCTGAGAAGCTAGGATTCCAGGGGTGAGCCAGCAGCACCCAGCCCAAATGTCAATTAACACCTCTGCCTGCCCCAAACAATCACACAGAGCGTGACGAATGCACAGGTACTCAGCACTGTATGTGTATATGTTTAGTTTCTCATTGATTTCACAAAAAGGGGACAGTCCCCTGAATCCCTTCTTGCTGATACTTTTGCTAGAAACAGTGAGTGGAGAAACAAAGGAAATGCCAGGAGGTTTTTGATGAGCTGAAAGTATCCCCGAATCACTTTCCCCAGCTAGATGGCAATTTCCACCTGAGCCAGAGTCTCTCCTGTGTTCCTACCACACCAGTCACAAAGTGTATGTCAGCACTGTACACCTAGTAGGTGCTCAGCTCATCCTTGTGGGCTGGAATCTCCCAGGATCATAGGCAGCAGGCTGTCATCTACTTGTGTGCCAGGGGCTAGTGCTGGTCCTGTGCTGGCCACTGAGGATGCCAAGTGGCTGAGGCTTGGTACCCCCATGAAGCTTACAGTCTGACAAAGTTGAATGACCTAGACAAGGCATTCTTCTGTGGGATAACTTAGCTTGATGTTATGGGCAGAATTCAAGACCCAATCCTAGCTGTTCAGTTACTGAGAAATTTCCAAACTTGAATTCGTATTTTAGAGGATCCCAGAAGTTAGAAGTTTCTTCTGAAATGCCTTTGGATGCTAAGAGCCAGCCTGTTACTAGTGAGGTCACAGTTGCCCCATCAGAATGGGCCCTTCAGTGACAGAAAGATTAGTCCCATGACTCTTGGCTTTCTGCTCATGCTGGCATCAGCATTGACACTTAAGCTCTTGTGTCTGTCTCTGTCCCCAGCCACTGCTTCCAGGCTCTGAGCGCCAGGTGGAGGCTCTCCTGAGCAAGTATGGCCCGGGAAGCTGTACCAGGTGACAAGCAACATCAACGGGGCTGGGACTCTGGACCTGACATTGCCACGGGGCCAAATTGTGGCCCTTCTTCAAAACAAGGACACCAAAGGCAACAGCAGCCGCTGGCTGGTGGACACCGGGGGTACGTGGGCCTTGCTAGGCCCTTTCTCTCTCCTGGGAAAACTACCTCCAGAAGCCAGTGAAGAGACATGGCACTCCTACAAGTCAATGTCTGTTGTACAAATCCAGGATGGGAATGAGCCCAGTGACAGATGCAGGGCTCGGGGCCTGGTCAGCTTAGAATGACTCAGTGGTGCAAGAAATGCCCAAAAGAGGGTTCAGTCTCCCATTGCCCTGTCCTGCATTAAGCACCTGTGTGCTGGGTGCTGTGGAAATAAGACAAGGACCTTGCCCATGGGGGCCCACAGACTTTTAGGGGGTGGGGTGCTCAGCATGTAGAGAGAGCTTCAGCAGCACTTTGAAAGATGGAGATGTGCCCAGAGCAGGGAAGCTTGGACCCTGGCCACACTGACAGCCGTCTGCTGTCCAGAATGCCAGTGATGATCCTGCCACTGCCTCCCGCTCATGTCCTTGGGATGTGCTGCTCCAGTCTGGGTGCCCCCATGTAACTGGGCTGGAGGGAGTGGCACCGTGAACCCAATGGTGTGATCTAACAGTAGATAGGCAGGTGACCCACAGGCTGAGGGTTGCCAGGGAATACTGCTAGGGAACCCACAGACTGTTATTGTAATCGTTACTTAAGCAGTTTAATGTGTATTAGAAAACATACAACCAGTCTACAAGCCTGTCATTGTATTCATATAGTTATATACTACAAGCACAAGTTTTAAAAAGTGAGTTAATTTATTAAAATTTAGGGAAAAAATGAGGAAAAGAAAGAAGAAACAATTTAGGAAAGTGTACAAACAAGCAGAAATCACGAGACAGCATTGATGATGAAGTGGGGAACTGCAGAATGAGTGAGTGTTCGAGGAAGACCTTGGGGTCCTGAGGAACTCACCCCGCCCCTCCTAGCTGTGATCTCAGGGAAGTCATGGAGCTTCTCTGAGCAGGGATGGATATAATGATGGAGATAATGAGATGTGACCATGTGCCAGTTCTGACACCTTGTAAACTCGCAGGAGGTGATGGCCATTCAGAGTGACTGCTCAGAGAGGAGCAAGGCCAACTCAGCCCTGGGGAAGGATGTAGCCTTGCTTTGGGTGACCACTAGAGGGCCCCAGACAGTGGCTACACAAGAAAGCATATTCCATAACAGTCCAAGGATAAACTTCAACTCTGTCAGAGCTGTTTACAACGGCCTGGATGTCTACCTAGTAGGGAATGAGCCCCTGTCTCTGGGACAAGCAAGCTGAAGCTAGAACCAGAAAGTACAGAATGAGGTAGGGCTTTTGAGGGTCTCATGACCCATCAATTTCTCTGTAGTGCTGGGCCACTGTGCTAGGGGCATTTGGGTTCGCTGACTGTCCCCACCACTAAGAGGGATGGGAAGGTGGCCCAAAGTCCACAGCCTTCTGCATGTTCCCTAGGACATCGAGGCTATGTGCCAGCTGGGAAGCTGCACTTGTACCACATTGTCAGTGAGAAGTTGCTCAGAGGGCAGGCGGGGCCACGTGAGGACTCCCGACATCCAACACCAGGACCCATCCCAGCCCCGGTTCCCTCTCTCCCAGCCGTAACCCAGGTGAGTCTGGGAGAGGGCTGGCAGCTTGCCTTACCTCAGCCACCTGGACTGGGGCTTGGATTTTCCTCTCCTGTCAAAGTCTATATTGTGAACATCTATGAACAGAGGCTGCTCCCTCAGGTGTCGACAGGGAAGCTGCACAGGTGAGCGATAAAAGATCCTGGACACAGAGGGCCAGGAGCCCAGAGGCACTGAGTACAGGCGGAGGGAGGGGGGATGCCTTAAGCCTGGGTGGCTGAGGAGCTTGTGGGAGCCGTGAAGACAACCTAGAGGTCTGGAGAAGTTGTACAGCTCCTGCCACTGCCACCACCAAAGTCCTTCAGTGTCAGCCAGAAGTAGCTCACCAGAGGCTGCGAAGGACCCTCAGGGGTCTTTCTAGGTGACCTGATCACCCAATTCAGCCCCGTCCAGCCCCTCTGGGGAAGGGAACAGGTTGCTCATGCCACCCAGAGCACGGGGGAACAGGTTGCTGGAGTGCCTGGGAAGCCCAGAGCACGGGGGGACAGCTCAGGGTCCATCTGCCTAAATGCACCAGCTGTTTCCTCTTGGTTCCCATGCTCTGTGGGACTCACAAGGGATCCTCCTGTGCTGCCTGTTGCTCCTGATGGTAGCCATCAGCATTGGTGGGAATGGTAAACAGAATCAAAGCCAACTGCTCTTGTTGGGCCCTGGCTATGTACCAGGCATGGTTTAAAGCCCTGCATGCCTTCATTCATTCATTCATTCATTCCATTTCCGTCCTCCAGAGGGTAGACTATTGTTGTTGCCATTTCACAGGTGATGAAACTGAGGCCCAGAGATGCTAAATAGTAGCTTACTAAATGCCTTTCCCTGCATTTTTCCTCCAGTTCAGTGCTTTTCCCTATAAAGGAATGAAGCCACCCACACCCCGATCTCTGCTCCACACAGATGCTGGCCCAGGCAGATGAAATCCTTAGGTCTGGGGAGGGGGAGGCTGCTGGGTCACAGTCATCCAGTATCCAGTGGATCCAGTACACCTGGATCACACAGCTGTGCGATTTGGCTTCACAGCTGTGAGATTTTGAATAAGTTCCTTGACTTTTCTGACTCTCAATTTCTTTATCTGAAAAAAAAATGGGGCAAATAGCACCCTAGAATTGTGAAAATCAAAGCCTAGAAAAGTGCTAGAGCAGCGCCAGCTACATAGTAATGGTGCAAGTGAATGTAGTTGTCTTTAGCACAAAGAATGTGCTTAGGAAGTGATGAAGTCCAGCAGTGGGGACCAGAGCCAGGGGGGATGGGAACAGGTAAGAGCCTCCCGGGATTGACCTTGAATGTCTGCCACCCTCACCATTTTCATGTCATTACCCATGTGTTTCAGGTGGTGGCAGTGTACCCCTTTGTGGCCAGGAACAACCATGAAGTGAGTCTGCAGGCAGGCCAGCCTGTGAGAGTCCTGGAGGCCCAGGATAAGAAGGGGAACCCGGAATGGAGCCTGGTAGAAGTGAATGGACAGAGGGGATATGTGCCTTCCAGCTTCCTGGCCAGGGCCCCAGCTCCGGGAGGCTGGAGTCTGCCCTGTTAGGGTGGCTACCTTGGAGTCCATATTGCCAAGGGATGGGAGAAGCTTAGAGGCTGTGACCCCTGTGGGAAAGAAGCAAGGACAATGTGGGGATGGAAGAAGAATGAAGGACCCCCAGAAGGCAGCCAAAAGGGGTGACTGGGCCTTGGAGACTGCCTGGTGAGGGTGGCCAGAGTTCTAGCAGAATGCCATTATGTCCACATAAAGTCATTCCAAGATGGATCACAACGCCCTAGATGGCAGATCATGCTTATTGGCCAATCGTGCCTGTGGCTCCTTCCAGGCCTACCTAGGAGAGCAGGTCACCCAGTGGATGTTGCTCACGTGCTATGTGGTTGCAGGAAGGGGGCACTGTTGAAGTCCAGAGCTTTCCAGCCCAATAGTTCATGTGCTATGGTGGAATCAGGAGATGCTGCAGCCAACCAGTCTTCTTTTTCGACGCTGCAAGCTGAGTTATCTTGGATAGTGAACCATGGGGGTCCTCTCAAGGGGGATCCAAAGTTTGTCCTGCAGTGGAGAGGTTCCCAGAAGATTCAGCTGGGCTTGGGAGTGGGTGTGTTCTAGTCACAGTTTGTAATGTGCATAGGCAAACTCAGAGGCAGTTCCAGGGAACAGGGGATTTGATGGTGGATCAGTGGGATGTGTGTTTTCTCTAGACTAGGGGACAAAGTGCCATGCAACTCGTGGCACAAACCCTGTGAGGTAGGGCTTCCCAGCCTCGTGGGTGGAGAGGTGAGGTAATGGCTAGGTTTTCTGTTTCTGGTAGGAGAGCCGGAGGAACCCTGGTGGTTTCTGGTTTTCTCTGAGGGCCTGGAGGCAGCACAGGGCATGAGGTCAGTTGGCTGTGGGGCCTTAGACATAGGCCACTTACTCACAGGGTTGTGACAAGGAGGACCTGATGTAAATGTGATCCATGATGTCAGACTGGCCCAGGTTTCCAGGTTGAAGCAGCCGTGCTGCTGCCGCTCATGCCCTCATGCCCATGGTGGCAGACTTGGTCCTTTCCCTTAGACCCGGGATCGGCCTCAGTGTCCTTCGCAATAGATCCATCGCGGGCTAACAACAGGAACAGGTTCTGAGAAATTCATCATCAGGAGATTTTGTTGAGTGCAAACTTTGTAGAGTATATTTGCTCAAAGTGATAAGGCTATGATGTCACTAGAGACAATATCCTCGTGGGACCACTGTTGCACAGGCAGTCCGTAGCTGACTGTCACGTGGCACATGGCCGTAGTACAGTTTAGGAAGTGAATCTGTTGAACTCAGTGAGTAGGTTGTCCTTTCTTGAACCTGGAAGTAGAAGCCCCTCAACAACAGTTTCTGTCCCAGGAGGACGGGCCCATGGAGCCAGGGTTGGGTGCAGTCACTGCTGGACAGCATCTCTAGGCTGTTGCTTTGGGGTAAGATATGTTGTAAGATTCCCCGAAAGGGGAAAAGTCCATCCAGTGTGATCCTTACGTAACTTACAAGGAACTCATAAGGAACTGAACCTTGTGAGTGTGTGTAAAAAGGACGCCAGTTTAAATTTATTTCCAAGAATGTCTCTGTGTTACAACTAGAGTGCCTAACACTATTAGCTCTGGTTTCTGAAGGGCACTTGAGAAACACATACTTGTCTGTGTCAGACAGTCTGTAACATGTCTCCTCTGGGCTTGTTACAGCACGAAGACTCTGCATAATGAAGAGAAACTCAGTCTCTGCAGTCCCTTTTCCCAGCCGCAAATTCACTTCGCAAGATGCTCTTGACACATTTTTCTTCCTCTTTCCTGCTCAGACTTCTGATAAAAATAGGAAGTATGGGAACAGGTAATAAAGGAGGAAGTCCACTTGTGGGTTCCTCAGATACCGACTGACAGCCTGCCGTGTGCTGGGGCTCCAGTGCAGGGGCTGCTCGCTGCGTGCACCTGGGCAGCTTTAAACTAGGATGCAAGCCAGGAGTCTAGGATTTCTGGAAGCTTCGCAGGTGCATCTATGTACAGCCAGGTTAGGATCTCTGCCCAAAACCTACAGTGGTGGACATTGGGTCAGAGATGGGATTGGGTAAGCCAGGAAGTGCCCCAGGTGAGCCTTGTACTGGCTGTTTAAACAGGCAGCTTGAGAAGCAGTTTGAAATAGGACAGCCTGTTCTGTCAGGTCCCAGAATGTATATTTATTAAGTGCCATTAAAAGGAACCTGAACAAAATTGGATGTTCTCATAGGCATAGGGGAGGAAAATGAAAAACGCTTTGTATGAAGGCTATCTCATGAAAGGAGAATTAAAATGCAACAGTAGCATGTTAGGTTATGGTTTCTCATAGCCCAGGGAACGAGATTAGAGGTCACTGTACAGTGAGAAAGCATGTGTTGAGAAGATGAAGAGTGACCTGGATTCTTTCCAGGGGACTCTGCATAATGTGCCTTTTCCCCTCCCAATACCTAGAGTCATTGCACCGTGTCTTATCTATGTCACTGTTGGGCTGTCTCAGGCCAAGTGGTCAAGACACCTGCCTTAGGACAGAACAAGACTTCCCGGAGTTGAAGAATGGTTCACAGGGTTACCCCTTTGCTCCTTGCAGTGGAACTAGACCTCTTTAACCCTTTTTGTGCTCCGACTCAGTTTTAGACATGAGGACAAGTTTGTAATATCCAAGGGAAGATAAAGGAATTCTTGGTTAGTGTGACGAGCACTAGCTTGGTGAATAACTGGGAATAAAGGACTTTAAAGATGGCACCGTCTCTGGAATTTGTGTGACTCCAACCATTGAGTACTAGGCACTTGCTAGATATAAAAATGGCACCTTATTCATTCATGTACATGTTTGAGAGTCTACTGCACACCCTTGCCTCTGAGCATCGAACCTAAGTGATGGAGAGACAGGGAGAAGTCAGACCAATGGGCTCTGTCCTTCCTGAGCCCACAGTCTAGGCAGAACAAGTCAGCAGCCTACACCTGTGAAGGTCAGCATAGGGCAGTAGCAGGTGCTCAGGAGAGGGGCTGGCCTCTGACCCAGACTTGGTGGCTAAGGAAGGCTTCCTGGAGGAAGCAGTGTTGAGATGAGATGCAGTGGATGTTAGGTGGAGGTGATCAGGAGGACACAGGCAAAGGCCAGAGGTGACAGTGAGTGTGACATGTCAGAGAACTGACAGGCTGTAGAGCTGAAACATGGAGTATGTATAGGGGCGTAGGTGGGGGCAGTAAGAGGAGTTAGCAAGGCCAGCTTCAGACTTTTCTGAGGACAGTGGGGTCTCTAAAGAGTTTGAAACAGAAGAGAGACATGCTTGGGATGGTATTTTAGGATGATCACTAGGCTCTAGCTGGTGCCTGATGTCCCCACAAATGACTGCACACTTCACGAGGAATGGAATCTCTGCTTCATTCCAGAATCTCCCTAAGAGTCTGTCATGTGCCTCAAGTTCCAGACAGTCAATGCCTATTGCTCAGATAAACATCACAGAGGGAGTGGGAACACCTACATCTTGCCTTCCACAGCCTCTTGCCTGCATCATGTTTTCTGGCTCTGCTGGGCACAATGCCTTCAGCCCGCTGCTATGGACCATGCTTATAGGTGTCCAGTCACGGGTGAGGTCTGGGAGAGCTGAGGTGGTCAGAGAAGGCTTCCTGAAGAAGACTGGGCAAGTGATAGTGCTTGTGTGATAAGCAGGACTGCGGAAATAGAAGGCTTCTTGGGCCTAGGGAGACTGTGGTAGTATGAAAAATGTTCAGTGCCTGGCCTTAGACAACTTGAGACCTTGGTCTACTTAACCATAGGCAAGTAGCAATAAATAAATACATTTATTATGGTTTCTGTATGTGTAGAAGTTTAATGAAGGGCCAGGGTTGGAGGGTGGGGCCCGTGGCTCAAGTGGTGGAGCACCTGCCTAGCAAGCACAAGGCCCTGAGTTCAAACCCTAGTACTGAACTGCCAAAAACAAATACAAAAAATGAGAAGTTTAACAAGGCTCCAACCTGCTTTGTCCTCTCCCAGAGTGCTCATTGCAGAGTTCTGGCTTATCTCAGGGGAGCCCTGACTTCTTCCACCAGGACCGATTTCTAACATGGCAGTCATTTCGGGCACTGTTGTGGCACAGCAGGGTCCCATATACTGTGGGCTAGAGGTAAGGAAAGAGTTGGTTTCTCCTCCTGGCAACAATAGAGAGGCTGAAACCTTTTCACTTAACTTTGCTCATCTGTTTTGTTTTCTTTCTCCTTTTATTGTTTTTACATTTACTTACATGTGTATACATTGTTTGTGCCACCTCCCCCAACCCCCAACATCCCCATCATCTGTTTTCTTATTGGCAGTTTCTGAAATTGCCTTGTCTGTTTTCTCATCTGTAAAATGGGTATGACAATTCTTTTTTTCACAGGCTTAAATGAGGCAATCAGTAACATGCATGGTATCACTGACGTATATAGATGAAACCTGTGCACTGTGGTCACCAGAGGGCAGCAGGGCTCTTTCAGTCACACTGTGCTGGGCAAGTAGAGCACAGAGAAAATGGCTAGGTGAGAGGCATTAGGGAGTGGTGGGACTGGGCTGGGTCTGAGCATACACACTAAGTTGAAAGGGCTACAGCTTCTTGATTTTAGCTACCTGCTGCCAAATCAGTATCAGGAGATATTCTGAATTTCCAAGAGAAGCCAGAAGCCAGGGTTTTTTTTATATTTTATTTTTTTGTATGAAATCTTCAGTGTGGAGACTGTACAATCTACAATAGGCCCCGTCTTTGCATCTGCTGCCTGATGTGGGTGGAGCATCTTCCCTGTGGAATTGGTTTCCTCTCTCTTTCCTGTGAAATGCCCTTTGTGTTGCTCATTATTTAATCTCCCTTAATCTTTGGGAGGCATGGGTTCCTTTTATGTTATTCCTGTTTTTGCTGCTATTGTCATCAAATTTCTGTTAGGTTGTTGCTCATATTTCTGACCTACCCATAGGATCTATCTCATAAAGAACTGTAGAGGAGTGAATGACATACTGACGAATCTCTTAGCCCGACAGCCCAGCACTCAGCCTATTAGTACTCAATAAACAGTTACCATGACATAGGAACTTCTGAAGGGACACAGGAAAATTGGAAGGTTTATAGGGCCAGTCCGCCTTCCAGTGAGTGGGATGGTGATAAGGCTTGGGCACTCTCCTGGTCTGTCTACTTGTCACTGGTCCTCAGGGATCTTGGCATCTTGGAGCCTGTGAGTAGAAACCCAGTGCCTGCAGACTGGGACAGCCCTGCACCCCAGGCAGGTTGCAGCTACCCCTGTTGAGCAGCCTGTGTCTCTGGAGGAGGGTTTTGTTCCCTGCTCTGTTCTGTACTACCGGGAACATCTCCCATGCTCCTTTGCTCTCTGGTTGCCTGGTAGGTTGGGCCCATGAGAGGTACTGGCTGATGTGAGGAGCCAAGGTTTATCTCCTTCTCTCTGCTTCAGGTGGCATCTCTGCCCATTGCTGGTCTTCTCTGTGGTTCTCAGTCCCACTGGATGGGCCTGACTACGCTTCCAGTGTCAAGACAGGTTGGCCCCAGAACCTGGTTACCAGTAGCACTGCCTCTGCCCTTCAGCCTAGGTGTTATAATGTCTTTTTGCCATTGCTGATCTCTGGGGTGTGTCTCAGGTCGTCTTTCACCCGTGTAACCCACTCCCTATATTAAATTACTTCTGTTCAACAGGACTGGACAGTGACTGAGCCTGGGATGGAGGGGGAGGCTGGATCTTGGCACTATGAGTCTCCAAACTACCTCTTACCATCACCAGGTCTGACTATCACCTTCACTGGGCCTGGGGACGGTCAGCCCTCCCCACATGGACAGAGCTCTTGGAATTGTCTTCAGCCACAGTCAGCTGAGTGATCATGCTCCAGGATCAACGGCTCTGGGAATCTGCTGAGCTGGCCCAGTCTTGGCCAGCTGAAGCTGTTACTGCAGGGCCCAGAGCAGACAGGCATGGAGGAAACCCAAGGACCACTGTGTCAGAGCAGAGTTCTAGGCAAGGGCCAGGCCCTATAGCCCTGGAGGATGGGGGAGAGGAGGGAAATGATTGCAGACTGTTGTGTCAGCAGCATCTGTATCTGGCAGTGAGTCCCAGGCCAGGGAGATGGGACATGGGGCAGACTTCTGGCCAGAAAAGAGGCTGTTTGTCTTGATTCTGGGGTCTCAGACTCCTGGTTCTCTAGTGTGGGATTAGATAAGCACGTTAATCTTTAGCTACTCACAGGGCTGTTGGAGGGTTCCATTAGGGAAACTTTTACGTGATTTATCCAAGGCCTAGTGCAAAGGAAACTCTCACTACAGATTAAAAAATAATAAAAAGTCAAATACAAATCTCAACAGCAGCCAGCCACTGTGGACCTCATTCTGCAGGCATCCCACAGGACAGGCATTAGGATTGAGCCCAGGCATCTCCCCTGGGGTAGGGACAGGGCTGGGGACACAAACTGGTTGCCAGGGCTAGAAGGAGTCAAGTCAGGTGAAAGAGCAGTGAAGGTGAGGAGGGCATTGTGGAACCCAGGGCATACTCCCTAGGGATGGGGGGGTCAGCAGGTGTTTAGCCAGCAATTGGAGCCCCAATGGGACACTTGAGGATAAGCGTCTCCTAATGTCAAGGCAGGACAGAGGTCAAAGCCAGGGCAGAGGATGGGCAGCATGGCTCCAGTCTTTGGTCTAGGGTTCAATACAATCTCTGGGGACTCAGGTCCCTTCAAGATACAGAGATGAGGGCAGAAGGCAGGGATGAGAACAGGTATATGGTTGGGGTCCATCTGTCAGTACAAGGGAATTCTTACTGGGCCCTCGGGGCTGACCTGGAGCTGCTCAAAACTGTCCCATTTGAGGATAGGATGGTCCTACAGCAGGGCACAGGGCCTGGACCTGGAAGAGAATCTGGGAATGAAGAGGTGGGAGTGTGCCAGACTTCCCAAGCAATACTCCTGAGTTCAAATCTGATGCCATACTCAATAGCTAGGTGACCTCATTAAATTAAGTTACTCAATCTCTCCAAAACCTCACTTTCCTCTTTGTGGGTAAATCAGGAAGCAGTCCTACCTCAAAGAGTGTTGGGATGTCAAAATGGGATAAACCCCTGGGCACTGTATCTTCTGTGTATAAGGGCTTAATGCATAATTGATTCGTGGCCGCACACATCCTCCCCAGCACTCCTTCCAAGTTTTGCAGGCCACGACCCTACACTGTCCTCTCCTTTGGACTAACACTCAGTACCCAACCTTTCCCCCAATGCCTGTGTGCCTGACCCTTTACCCTTGACTCTGAAATACACCCTTGCTAAATGATCACTTTCAAAACTGAAAGAAAGCAGATATCTCCAGAGACCAAAGGTCGTTCCTTGGGAACTGACACTTGTCCTCAATACTCTCTGGTGATAAGTCAGCCATTTTGGATTACTCCCATCTCTCAAGGACCTCGCCAAGCCACTGGTGGTGCAGTTGTAGGCAGCCTTGCTAATATGGCAGGCATCTGGGAGGGAACTTCCTGTACTTTTATAGGTTTTTTTTTTTTTTTCAATTTCTGAATGTTTTTATCTCAAATTATTTTTCTTCCCCTCCCTCCTTCCCTCTGTCCCTCTCGTTCTTCCTTTCTTCCTTTCTTTTCACCTTATGCTTGCTGGTAGTTACTCTGCTACTTGAGCCATGACTCCAGCCCTTCAAAAAGAATTTGAAAAAGCCAGGGTTCAGAATAGTAACCATAAAATGAAAATACAAACAACCACACAACCACACACACACTTGGAAAAATCTCAGTATCCAATCCGTGCCTTCTTCACACACACCCTGCCCATCTCCCAGGCTACAGAGTCTAAGCTGTTGGTCTCCCCTTCGGGCATGAGAATCGTCGTCAAAAGCACCTTGTCCAGGTTTACTTGCTACAGTTTGCGTTGTGAATGTTTTTGGTTTTTCTTAATGTGTCACTTTTTTTTAATGTTACATTTAATGTGTTACAATATGCCTATATAAAATTGAATATTAAGTTTGAATTATTTCACTTCCTTCCCCAAAGGCTGTCAGACTTCCTTAGCCCTCTGTAAGGTGTAGCATCAACAAATACCTCACCCACAACCAGGATCCCAAAGCTACTCTTTCCCCTGTCTTCCCCTCAGAAAAACTGTTCATGCCAAAAACCTGGGATGCTCCTGACTCTTCTCTTTCCACAGCCCTCCATGTTCAATGCTCGTGAGGCCTGTCAACTTTACCTCCAAAACCAACCTGAAATCAGTCTGCATCCCCTCCACCTCCACCTTCTCCACTGCCTCCACCGTCTTCTCCTGCCTGACCCCTGGATTAGCCTCCCAGTGACCTCTGCTCCTACCTTGTCCTTCACCAACATCTTGTTCTCCAGAGAGTTGCCAAAGTGATTCTTTGAAAGTCAGTTAGAACATATGTCTCCTCTGCTTAAAACTGAACAAAACACAAATTCCTTTCTTTGACCTGAAAGGCCCTGTATCATAGGTTCACCTACCTATGCACCATCCTGTACTCGCCCTGTACCACCCTCCACCGATTGCTATACTCTGGTCACCCTTGTGTTCTCTCTACTTCTCCATCACTCTAAGTCCAGTCCTAACCCAGGGCCTTTGCACTGACTGTCCTTGGAGTGCTCCTCCCCCAGATCTGTCCATGGCTGGCTGCTTCTTGCTGTGCAGGTCCCCACATAGATGTCAGCTCCTTAGTGATACGTTCATTGACCACTCACTCCAGGTGGCTTTCTCCCCCTACTCCCACTATTGTTTTACCCTGTATTACCTTCATTACAGAACAGATCACTCCTTAATTTCAGTCTATTTATTTCTTTGCTTATTGTCTGATTCACCTGTTATAAAATAGGGGCTTTATCTATCTTATTCAATGCTAGATTCAAATAATTTAGGGGGATAGATTTATACTAAAAAACAAAACAATTCAAGCCAGGTGCCAGTGGCTCATGCCTGTAATCCTAGCTACTTGGGAAGCTGAGGTCAGGAGCATTGAAGGTCAAGGTCAGCCTAGGCAGATAATTCCTGAGACTTTCATCTTCAAAATAAACAGAGCAAAATGGACTGGAGGTGTGGCTCAAGCAAAAGAGTGCCTGGTTTGCGAGCTCAAAGCCCTGAGTTCAAACCCCAGTCCCACAAAAAAAAAAAATCAGTTTCTCTGAAATTTAACTAGATGTCTTGTATTTTATCTGGCAACCCTACTTGAGGTCCATGGTCCTACATCTTGGACCCAAGAGAATGAAGCTGGCATGTGAAAAGAAGGAGAAAAGAGAGTAAATAACATGGGAGGGAGGAAGAGAAGGAGAGATGGTGGGGGAGAAGGAAGAGAGAGAGAGAGACCTCAAGTACCTTCTGATAGTCTAAGTCCCACAGTTCAGTGACTCCAAGGACATCTCCACCCCTGTATTTTCTGTGGTTTGTTTTATAGACACCAATAAATTCTCCCTTTGCTTAAAAGTAATAGCTAACATTTCTTGAGCAATTGTGTATACCAGGCTCCAGGCCAAGCACCTTGAATAAACTGTCTTGTTTATGG